CCCCCCCCCCCCCCCCCCCCCCCGGTGCTGCTTGGTGAGAAGGCCGGCTGTAGCCGGAACGTGCTTGCTGGAGGACTTTTCCTGTGGGTCCCAGAGAGGGTTCTGGATGGTTAGAGGTCGGAGGGGGGAGGGAGGGAGAGAGGTGTGGAGAACAGGGAGGGCCAGAGAGACGGGCGTCTGCGCGCACTGGATCTGGTCGGTGCAGATGCAGACAAAGCAGGTTCCGCAGGAGTTGCCTGGCCCAGGAGCAGCAGGCGGCTGTCACGCATGCACACCCTGAGCCGGCTGAGCTCAGGTCGCAGTCGGGGCCTTTGAGGGGCAGCCGGGCTAGCTGGCTTCTGCTGCGCTGAAGGAGACTGGGCTGTGTTTGAGCTGGGGGGGGATTAAGGAGTGCTGACGCACAGGTGGGTCTTCGCAGGTTCGTGTGAGGTTTGGCCCTTTTGCGCACTGTTCGAGGCAGGCTGCTTTGGGTGGAGCATCTCCCCTTTGCAGGTTAACAGGCTGTCTGCGTGTGCCGCGCCAAGGACTGTCTTGGAGGAGGGAAGAGAAGGGCCCTCTTGAGTGTGTCCAGGGGGCACTTTCCTTTTCGTTTCACCTGTTTCAGGACTTCTGCGTTCCAGTTTCAGGGAGAGGGTCGACGGTGCCCCTCAGCTGTGGAGGGAGGCAGCGGGTGACTCCTCGTCTTTGTGCCCGCAGACGTCTTCCTCCTCCTCAGCCAAATCCGGCATTTCCACTGACTGCGTGGCCCCAGCCTCCGGGCATGGCTGCAGAAAGGCCAGAGAGAGCTAGCGGAGAGAAAGCCGAGAACGAGAAGAACGTCCTCCTGCCCTGGGAAGAGAGCTGGAGGCCCTGGCCAAAAGCCCGGCGGAAGGTGCACGGTAGGAGCCTGCCCAGCCAACAGAGTGGCTCCCCCTTTGTGGCACGTGGGAGGGGGTGCTCCAGATGTTGGTGTTTCCCCAGTGATAGTGACCCTTCGGCCTCTTCTTCTGCCTTGCTCCTTCCACAGGAGGCGCAACGGAAAGGCCAGTTGATCCCTAGGGCGGGGTGGGGGAGGCAAAAACTCCAGAGAAGCATGAAGCTGGGGCAAGAAAAGTCTCTTTCCCCGGGATCCTTAATCCCCAGGCCTCTGCTGCCCTCTGCAGGTTGCCTGGAGTGCATCAAGCGGCAGCTTTTCCGCGTAGGGGACGATTGGTATTTCCTCTTTGCCCTGGGCGTCATCATGGCGCTGGTCAGCTTCGCCATGGACTTCACTGTTTCCAGGGTTGCCAGCGGTGAGCTTCTGCCCTGTGGAATCCCTCTTCGGGGGACGCCTTCCATCCCCACCCCCGGCTAGACTTTGAGGGGCAAGAGATTCAGACAGCAGAACACCGCGCCACAAGGTGCCGTGAGGGGCATCGGTTTTAAGAGGGGGTTAGACAGCTCCACGCAGGGTTGAGCATCGGGATGAAAGGCAGCCGTGCCGACGGGAAGCCGTGAGACTGGGAAGCCGCAGTGGCCAACGGCTCTTGTGCTCGTGTGCTTAGTGACGCTTCAGTTCCCAGCCTCCTTAACTTCTCTTTGGACTCTCCAGCGCACGTATGGCTTTACCAAGAGGTTGGGGGCTACCCAGTGCTGAAGTTCCTCTCCTGGACCATGTACCCAGTTGCGCTCTCGGCTTTTTCCACGGGCTTTGCGCAGAGCATTACCCAGCACGCTGGAGGTGAGGCGGGATGGAGGCCATTGTCAGCCACTGGTAGTTTTGATGCTGAATCTGCCCAGTTCCAGTCCCCGGACTGCGAAGCAACCTTCTTCCCTTGTCCCACGCCTGGATGAGAGGAGGAGGAGAGAAAGGTGGCTACCGTTAGTATGTTGGGGCTTTCTGGAAGCGTAAACGTTTCCCTTCTTCCATCTGTTGCCCTTGTTCTTCTCCCGGAAAGGAAGCTGGCTGACGAAAGCTAGTCTGGCTCCTCATCTAACCTAGTTCCCCATAGACGGAAGCCTAAGTGAACCACACCCAAGCCCACAAGAAACCCCGAGGGAACGCAAGCTGGGGTTGGGCATCGGACCCTGGGGGAGTCCTGCCAGCTGGACAGGAGCAGGGAGAGACTGCTGTGCCCTCTCCACCAGGCTCTGGGATCCCCGAGCTCAAGACCATCCTGACTGGTGTCATCCTGGAGGAGTATTTGGCCATAGAGAATTTTGGGGCCAAAGTCGTGGGGCTGACCTGCACCCTCGCCTGCGGAAGCACCATCTTCCTTGGGAAAGTGGTAGGTTGAGGGTCTCCCCTGCTCTTCAAGCGTTGCCTCCCTTGTTTGACAGGGCCAGCCTTTGCAAGGAGAAAGGGAAGCCGGAATTTTTCGGAAGGGAAGGGTGTCCTGAGGTGCAGCTCCAGAGAGCGGAGGAAAGAGTTGGGCGTCTGGAGGGGAACCTTCAGTTGTTGCCTCCACCCCAGGACTGCCTGGCCAGCGCCCTTCTGAAAAAGGGTTTGGGTAATGAAGGTGCCCCAGTCCAAGAGTGGAAGGAGGGCCTGGGTCACGGCAGCGGGAAGCGAAGGGTCCCTCCCAGCCTTTCTGGAGGAAGAATGCGCAGAAACAGGCCAGCAAAGAGGAGGCAAATCCCACCAGGGTCAGCCCAACACAGCTGGCTGAATGTTTAGGGGAAAAATTCTTCTCAGACCTTTAAGGGCAGATCATCCTTGGCTCAGGAGTCAGCAGATGTGGCGCTCCTGAAACCTCCTGCCTGGGGGGCCGTTGGGAGAGGCTGCAGATCGATGGGGGGGGCTTTTTTGGCAGCCCTCCCTCCTCTCTGAGCAACCCCATCAGAGCCTTTCAGGTTGTCCTCTTTGTCGTCATAATTCTTCTGCACGGCCTCTGCTTTCTCTAGGGGCCCTTTGTACACCTCTCCAGCATGATTGCCGCCTACCTGGGGAAGATTCGGACAAGCGTTTGCGGGGAGTACGAGGTATGGCCGAGGAGGCAAGGCTGCCCTCCCGGGATGGGCCGGGAGCCCGGTGGCAG